CATACACACATCACTCACACAGACATACACACGTCACACACACAGACATACACACATACACACACACACAGACATACACACACACACACACACAGACATACACACATCACACACACACACACACACACACACACAGACATACACACATCACATACACACACAGCGACCCACATACACACTGACTCCTAGCCACACACATCCATACACTTGGTGCGGACTGGTATGCCGCCTAGCCTATTGACTAGAGCTGGGCGAAGAATCTAGTCGGGAACCGATTCCCAAGACTAATGCTACGAAAGAAAAGTTCCGACTCCTTTTTTACGTAAACCAGCCATTACCTGCTACTTTAATCAGTAAAATCTTTTTTTTTAGTTATGCTTTGTAGTGTTCCGAAATTAAGGTTATTCTAAATCCTGAAGATGTTCGGAGCTATCAGGTAACCACAGGAAGAAATCCCATCATTGGAAAGAAAGTAATTGGGTTCGGAGTCGATTCCTACGATTCCTAGCTTTCAATAACCGGGAACCTGGCCGCCCAGCACTACTATTGACCCTGGATGGCAAGGTGGAGTTTGAGAAGTAATTGAGGTCGTGAAAAGAGTTGTGCTGAGTGGCTTCCCCTGCACTAGCTTGTCCACTGTATTGTCGCTGCAGAGTGTGGACTTTTCCAATAGTAATAGCATCCACAGGCCATGTGCACACTTGTGTTATATTTCTGTTGTTTTTGGTTGTTGAGCTGCCATTACTGAGCTGACTCGTGTTTAAAAGGGTAGTTTGTTTCATATGGTGTCATCTGCAGAGTATGGACTTTCCAATGGTAATAGCATTCACAGACTATATGCAGATTTGTATTATATATATCTGTTGTTTTTGGTTGTGAATCTGTCATTACTGAGCTGACTCGTGTTTAAAAGGGTAGTTTGTTTCATATGGTGTCATCTGCAGAGTATGGACTTTCCAATGGTAATAGCATTCACAGACTATATGCAGATTTGTATTATATATATCTGTTGTTTTTGGTTGTGAAGCTGTCATTACTGAGCTGACTCGTGTTTAAAAGGGTAGTTTGTTTCAATTGGTGTCATCTGACTCAGGTTGCATACCTGTCTTGCATCAGTACTGGCAAACACTTGTGGTCATGCCCCACGTGTGCTGAAACACATGTCCTTACCAATAAGAAAATAATTTTTTAAAACGCCTTTGGGTCTTGATAAAGTGTGCTGGGCCAGTCGAGATATTGAGTAGTGTTTGTCAAATAGAGAATTTCTCGTGACTTTTCTCACTCATAAAATATTAAAAATTGGTTCCCTTCACTTTTATCAGGTATAATAATAGATTCAGCGGTGTATTTAGTACTTACCTTTTTTTAGGTTTTTTTTGCTTCTGTTGGATTTGTTTTGGGTTTTCTTATAGAATAGTAAACTTTCCAAAATCATTATCATGGATATTATCATTAACAACCCCCCCCCCCCCACACCCAATATATAATGCTTGTTGAATTAGTTCTGTAGATCTGTTTGTGTCCCAAGTGACATACACCCGCCACTGGTTAACCTCTGACATAGAAATAGTTTTTGTACCTCGGTAGTTTGGCTTTACGTTGGAGGACTGGTGTAAGTAAATCTTGTGTGTGAGGTGTATCCTTGTGGTGTATACATGTTTCTCAGACAAAATTGTTTCCCAGTTTTCCTCAGGTCTGGCAAGTGGGAAATAAACTTCTCTTATATCTTGATTTGTTGATGTATGTATG